CAATTTCTGACATTGCCAGTGAAGCAGAAGGCACAATACTATTATGGATTACTGAACTCCTTCAGAATATTTTGCTGAGTTTACACACCTATAATATTTATGATGGAACTTAACAATAAAAGGGGATACAGATGAATGTCCATTTTGTATATGTGTATTCAGAGTGGTTAGGATAGATATATAGTTATATTCTCTTCATGAATAGAGGGATTTACAAACACCTCATGAATAGAGGTGTTTGTAAATAGGTTACCAAGTCTGCATCTTGTACAGCAATTAACTACTAGGAAGAATGTATGCAATGTGTTAATTATTGAAACTGTCCTACCAATTTGCTTTGAAACTATCTCATTGCTATTTGTTTCTCAATAAAATTATGGTAGAAAAAAAGAATTACCTGTGGGATAATTTGTATTCTTTGTGCTCTGTACTGTCTTCAAAATCTAGTGTGTATTTTACTCATTATTTCAGAAGAGCCCAGAGTAAGTGCTCAGTACCTACAGGGGGCTGGTGGGTGCCTTTGGACAGCACAGCTGGCTTTGAAGAAGGCAGGGACAGCAGATGTGAAGGGCAGCCACCCTCCAGGTCTCAGGGACAGTGCTTGGGGACACACATAGAAGGGCCATCCCCCATGGAGCTCAGCCTCAGACCTCCTGACACAGGCTTTGGCTCTGCTTGCTGATGGGATGGACCCTGGCTGTGGAGTTGGGGGCCTGGCCAGCAGGGGACAACACTGTGGGTACTGAGTCTAAAGGGAGCCTCCTGTGTGGGGAGACTGGGAGGCCAGCTGTGGGAAGGCCATGGGGAGGGAGGCTGCCCTCGAGCAGGCACTGACTGCTGTTGGCTCTGCCATGGGTGGACGCCAGGAGAGGAAGCCCTGGGCCTGGAGGAATGGCCCCGCTTTACAGCGTCTCCTCGGCATCCTTCGTGATGCGTTGTGCATGGCGCCTGGCGAAGGAGAATGTTTCGGGCTTTCATGAGCACAGAGGAGAGCAGGAGGGCAGGTCTGGGGTAGTGCTCCCTCCATCTGCTGCACATATCAGCACATGCTGTTGTCCCTGTGCCAGGGCTTCCTCAGCTCGATGACATCCTCCTCCACTCCGAGGGGAGCAGCACTTTCTGGGGTACTGCTGAGAAGTGCAGGTGTTATTTACGGTGACTGGAGGACACCCACCCTGCTTGCACACGTTGGCACCCCGGGAAGTGGGCCATCCTGGGATCTCAGTAAGGATGAGCATGAAATTGTAGCAGTGCAGTGGGGAAGTGAAGCAGCGAACTCTGGAGGGTAAGTTCAGGAGAGTCCTCGGAGGTGGCTAGTGCGAAGGCTTGCATGTGTTTTCAAGCTTTTGACAAGTATTCCTGCTACCATTTTTCTTTAATATCTTTCTCTAGACCAAACAATTCTAAAATAAACATTGAGAATATTAAAAATCATAAAATATATTTTTGGCCCAGTATGGTAAAATATGATTGGCTTTCCAGTAAACAGTGTAAAATTTGCTAGAGTGCATCAATTTTGGCATTATGAGAATAAACATTTTTTTTATTTTTTTACACAGGATAAATCAATATCCAAGGACAAATCCAGGATATCAGGAAGAATTTTGCCACAGTTATCTACGGTAACTTATCTATACACTCTCGGGAAATATTTACTATTTAAAATAGCAAATATTTGAAAATAAATAACCAAAGTTCTCATTTTGAATTTTATTTTTTATTTTGTTTTTTTTTCTGATTAAAAAAAATTCTATGAAGTACCTCTCTCTCTCTCTCTCTCTCTCTCTCTCTCTCTCTTTTGTCTTTTGGAGACAGGGTCTCACTTTGCTGTTCAGGTTCCCTTGAACTCACTTTGTAGCCCAAGCTGGTTTGGAACTCACAGTGATCCTCCTGCCTCTGCCTCCAGAGTTCTGGGATTACAGGCATGCGCCACCATGCCTGGCCAATGAGGTACATCTCTGAAGAAAAATATCTTAGTAAAGTTACCACAGGTATCTCTGGTGGCGAACTTCTGGCACAGGTGCCACTGTGGGCTGTTTGTTATCGTTAAAAACACTTAAAAGGTTCACTGCCCCTGACCTATAAGTTCCTAGTATGTTGTTCTGGTTTGCATCTTGATGGCCCCCTCTTTATGGTGCTAGGCGGTGCGGCCAGGTTGGAAAAGGCCACATCGTGGGGGCGTGACCCAGGTTTATCCCCCTCTCTTCCTCTTCCCTGCGCTCTCCACTTGCTGGCCGCCATAATGGGAGCCACTGTCCTCTGCCCAGACCTTTTTACCAGGCCTTCTTGCCTTGGATTCCACCAACGTGGACTAAAGACATGAGCCCAAAACAATCTCTCTTCCTCTAGGTTGTGGGTGCCGGGTTTTGTGTTTTGGTGTCACAAAGGTGATAAAGACATATTCGCAGAATGCTGGAGTATTATGAATGAGAGAGTTTTCCAAGGTAGATTCATAGGAGGAGGAGGAGTTGGAGGCATGGCAGGAGAGCTTGGGGTGAAGCGTTGTCTCTGTGGCTCTGTGATGTCTGGGAAATCGTTTACTTTTCTAAGCCTTGGTTTCTGGGTTTGAAAATGAGAGGCTGTGCTGACTCTGAGGAGGTGGCTTTCCCAGGGCTAAAGGTCTGTCCTTGAGATTTTTTTAGATCTTGGCATCCTTGTACTTTTGAGTCCATGTTATCATTGTTCTGTGGAATAGGCAGCTTATAGGACTTTTCACTTGATAAAATGCTGAATAAGTTAGATTTTACTGGAATAAAATTTACTGTCTCATATTCATGTTGGATTGCATGCCATCAGTTGTCCTCTGGTGACTTTTGGGAATGAGTGTAAGTAGAGTTTCAGGTAATCACTGCATTTTGGAATCATGAGAGGACACATATAACATTTACATCTTCCTTGTTACTTTATGGATACGGGTTCAGTAGAATTTCATAATTCACATTGTTAATTCACAGCACTATCATCTGTTCCAGAACTCTCTTCATTTCCCCAAATGGAACTTCTGCTCCATTAAACAGCTTCCCATCTTCCTCTTCCTCGGTCGCTAGCAAACCATCATCCTTCTGGTTCTTCTGCCTCTGCGACCTCTTAGGCATGTCGTGTAAGTGCAGCCAGGTGATAGTCATCCTTTTTCACTCCCACTCATTTATTTGCCTCAGTATACTCTTCAAGATTTGTCCACTATTTGTTTTGAAATATTTGTAAAAGCTGAACCCAAACTATAATATTGAATTTGTATAACTTTGTACAGGAAACTTTAAAATGAAGATAATTTTCATTTAGAACACTTGAGTGAATGTTCCCACATGAATTATCTTGAGCATTTAAAATACATATTTGAATTGGACATATACTTATATGGATAACGCCACCATGTGTGGACAGCAATGTCACGTTTCCCCTAGTTCTGCCAGGACCGTGCCAACTTTGCCGGTTTAAAAGTTAAAGACCTGCAATGGATAGACACTTTAATTTATTCTTTAAAAAATTTAAATAATTTAAAAACAAATAAATTGCTGTTAGTTGTGATTAGTATATGGATTTAGAAGTATAAACTCAACTAATAGTACTTACTGTAGCGGCAGTGAATCATACCCCTTTCCTGTGCGTCATGCAATCATCTACAATACTTTTTTTTGGTTGATTTTTCTTTATCTGGATTTGAGTTTAATATGTCTTAAGAGAAACTGTATTTTAAAAGGTAATCCATTGAATTGGTTTTATTTGAATATTAAGGTTGGCACTTGGTTAAAAGTTCCCCGGTAATAACCACTGCCTGGAGTGGTTTTCATGGCAGCCCTGCTTTCCTAGAAAGCTGCTCTTGCAGCTGAGGTTATGCTGCCTCAGCATGGTGGCCCCCAGCTGCTGTGAGCAGCTGACCCAGCTTGTACCCTTCTGCTCACAGAACTTCCACGAGTCTTAAACACCTTTTGGAGCAAGCCAAGAGGAAGAATGGAAGGAGCAGATGGTAGGATGAAGACTCACGGGCTCACACACAGTCCTCGTCTACGTACCTGAGAAAGAAGAACTTGACATAATGACTGTGTGTAGAGAGTTTACTCAGAAAGCAGGAAGAGAGTGGAAAGAGCACAACTAGGTGAAGGAGAAGCTGCTGCAAGCCTGGGCTAACACGGTGGTCTAGGTCAGAAAGGAAGAAACAGGCTGAATTATCAGTGTTAGAAAATACACAGGTTTTGTTTTAAAATATGCCTACCTGGGTTTGCTGAAGAAGCAGCCCTTACCAGCTGTGTTCTGTTTTCCAATATTGCAGTCACTGGTGAGAGCTAAGTAGTCATTGACCTTTTAAGAGATGTGAATCTCTTCAGGATGCTGTGATTCCTTCCATACTGTTGTTTCTCAGCACACATCTGAGCTAATACTCCAGGCCAGAGCTGCTGGAACTGTGGCAGACCTTGGTGCAGAGTTCAGAGTAAAGCTCAGAGGGCTATCATGGGGGCTTGGGTTGGAACCCAGTGCCAGCCCTTTGTGGTGAGGCCCAGTACCTGCTGAAAACTGAAGGCCTCTTCCATAGGCTGGAGGTCGCACACAGAACCTCTAGATCTGCCCTGGTGTTAGGTGGAGGCCTGTGACTTGGTGGGACAGATGAAAGTTTTAGCCTGCATCATTTCCATCCTTGGAGTAGTACAGAGTGCACCTTACCTTCTCCTGCGAGCAGGCAGGCCCCTGCAGCTGCGACTTGGGTGTTGTCTAACTTAGGATCAGCCTTGGTGGTCAAGGGACTGTCTTCATCCACTGCCTTCAAACCTGAGGTAACACAGCTACCAGCAGACCAGGGCTCACAGGCGGAGCTGCAGAGCTGCTCCAGCACTGGCCGAGACTCGGAACCAGTGCCATAAACTCATAACTGCCAGCTGCAGTGTGGGCCTTTGTCCATTGCTCATTTTATGAGACTCAGGTGCCACCAGCTCAGCAGCCTGTCCAGTCAGGGCCTGCCATTTGCAACACTTCCTGAACCTTGTGCAGCCTAGCTTGACAGAAGACCCCATTCAAGGGATAGGACAGGCTGGTGAGCACACTTTGTCCTGGAACTTAGCACTGGGCTATAGAAGCTAATACTGGACAGATCCTGACAGCCCCTCTCCCCAGCTCTGCATGCAGAGTGGACCTCTGGGAAGCGCTCACCCTAGGGGAAGACACATAGCCCCAGCCCACTGGGCTTCTGTTCTAGCTGGCTTCACCCTGGCTGCTTGCATCAGTCTTAGGCTGTGAGCCTATTCTATAAGAATAGGCAGGCTGTAGCAGTATGGCCCTTGTTCCTACCCTTATGTTGTACTGGTTTGTGCAGGCTGTGGGCTTAGAGTATGACAGAGCTTAGTGGCATGATGGTGGAGGTGTGATGCAGGAGCCTCAGGTTGGTCCAGCCATGATGGCTCTGTCCAGAGTCAGGTAGAATCCTGTAGTGCCTGACCATAGCTCAGCAACTGTGGATGAGACCTACCCTGGCCCAAAGGCGAGACTTGTGGGGAAAGACCACTTTTTATAGTTATGTTCCTAGTTCTTTCTAGACAACACATAAGTAGGGCGCCTGTGATGCCCTGGACATGGATTATGCTCTAGTGCTGAGATAGCGGCAACACACCCAGAGCAGCCTCCTGGTGAATCTGGGCATGGACACCATTCAGGGCCAAAATAGTTGAAGGTTCTATAGTCTCATATGGAATAAGATACTTGTTTAGAATTTCTGGAATGATGGCTAAAAGAATAGGAAGACTAGAACTAATACCTAATCATTTAATTCCCAGGCAGTGTCATATGCCAGCAAACATCAGGAGCTTTCAGGAAACTGTGAACTCAGCTACCAGTCAAAGATGTCAGAAAATGACCGGCTAGCCTCAATATGGGAGAACTCTCAGGGAATTCAGCTATTTTAAAGAAACCCAGAGAGCCTGAAGAAAAGACAGAAAACCATTTCAATACTAGCAGAAAACCTAACAGAGTGAAAGGAGTGACTTAAAGAGACCAAATTCATTGAGCGAAAGCTACACTAAGAAAATGAAAACACGTAGAAGGCATAATATAAGCAAGGTAGATCACATGGGGGAAAGAATGAGTGTGCTTGAGGAGAAAATGTTCATGAGGTACATTTGAAGGAGGAGGAAAAAGAATGAAGGGAGTGAAGAAAGCCGAAGGAAATTTTGGACAGTGTCCAAATGGTAATTTGACTTACTGGATTCAAGAGTAACTTGAGAGTGCTAAAGAGGCAGGATTAGTAAAAAAAAAAACAAAACAAAAAACAGAAGACCTCCAAAACCTAGAAAAGGGCACAGACATCAGGTATAAGAAGGCCAAAGGACCCCTTACTGAATTCGACAAATTTATCCAAAGATATCTTATAATCAAACACACAAAAGTGAAAGATAAAAAGATGTTCCAAGCTGCCAGAGTAAAGAAACAGCACTGCCCCAGCTCACCTGGTAGCAGACTTCTCCATAGAAATGTTATGGAAAATGCCATGAGACTTTCACAGTACCCAAGGCAAACATTCTCGGTCAAGAATACCGTGCCCAGCAGTGCTATCTTATGGAAATGAGGAAGTGATAAAGAGATTCTCAAGCAAAACCTGAGAGATTGTGTCTCTACCAGACACATTCTACAAAAAATG